TGTATGTATGTATGTATGTATGTATGTATGTATGTATGTATGTATGTATGTATGTATGTATGTATAAAGCCATACTTTCTAATGAGATATAAATTGGTTAAGTTAGTCAGAGTCATATTCCAATATTGAAGTATGTGCGCTTCTGTGCCCTGATTTGTACGTATATGTACGAAATCCACAATCATAGCTTAGAGTTACCAGAAGAGAACCTATCTTCTATCCTCGAGCATCAAGGCTTATTGACCACCACCACCCGCCTTCTTATATTCTAATCAGCAATTTGATTATTTAATGTCGGACACATGTCTGGTTAGGTTGAGGAGGTTTTTGACTGCGCGTACGAGAGAGAAATAAAGTGTGGTTTTTGTTAGGAACATTACCAAGTGAAGACTAATTGGATCGCGGACAGTTGACCAAGAAGATTCTGCCGTCGTCTTGTGGTGAGATTGATCTTCGAAGCTCTTCAACACACAGCTCTCCAAGACTGTTTGTTTGCTGAAAGGTCACTTGTTGTATTTTACTAGTCGTCTATTTCGGTTAGAGTTCCTTGAAGGACGTCCAAATAAGACATTAAAGTGCCTCAGTGGCACTCATGGGCATTTTTGCAGGCTATTTCTGGCCCTCTTGTTCATGTCAAGACTCTGAGCTTAAGAGACCAGGCACATCTGGACAAAGGCCCTTTAGAAAAGGTTTCACAAAATTGTACCCATTCTAGTCAGATGAATGTCTGCTTGCATGTATGTGCTACCGCAGATACCATTTCACGTGAACGGTTTAACAAAGGCTGACTTCGTTGCCTCTAATCGCCCTCGATGCGACCAAAAGAGCATCCGGATCTTAAGAGCGATTATGACAAAACAAAACATTTTGCCGACTTTGTAGGCTTCAAAATCTACCTGAGCAAAAAGCTTTCAAAAGAGCCGAAAACTTGACTAGACAACTGACTATCGGAGTACACAACCTTCAGCATCTAAATGATGATTAACATTCGTAAATGGAATAAACTAAAATATCCTCGGTTTTTAAGCAGGTCGTATCATTTCCTTTAGACCAGAGAGAATATATACATTTATTATTAAAGAGTAGGTCTTGAAACCATTTGTAAATTTTGAATAAGAATTTCACTTACCCTAGGTCATAAAAAGTTGTGCAGGACTGAGTATTGAATTTTCCTATAATCGAAACTCGGGATGAGAATACCTTTGAAAGGATAAAGGCTTGGTATAATTCAATAGAAACGTGAGGCCTACTCATAGAACAGTGGGAAAATTCAACTAGCATTATATACGAGAGACTGCATTTAAACGAGCTATTTAATCGAGGAGGCTGTAGGCCAAATCTCGATACAATTAATAACGTAATAACGAAATTTTCGGCATATTGAACAGCTTCATTCTTTAGTAGAACAAAAATGTTTTTATTTGTCCAGAATAAAGCGATTTCATTACAACAAAATAACTTATGCTGTTCCAAGAATTAGTTTTGCACGATGTTTGTTTTGTATATACTACAAATTCTTTGTGAGTAGCAGTATACTTATACCCATAAAATTATAGAATATTTCCCCAGAATTAAATACGTCTCTTTGCGCCATCATATTCGCCCAAACAACTATTCAAGGGGCAGGATTGTGCTTTTAGATGCGAGCAATCTTAGATGCTGCGTCTGGGATCTGCTTGGCAGAATCTTCCAATTCGCGAGATCTAGGATCAAGTAGTTAGACCCAGCCGATTGGTCCTACATTGTTGTCATTGTCGAGTAATGTAAACGGAACCGTTGTTATGGTAGCAGCGTAATTTTAGCACCAGCTCGCCTCCATATGTATTGTCCGAGTGGGCAGCCTGAAAAAGGAGTATTTTAATAATGAATATGTTATGGTAGTAATAAGAGATGCATACGGTAAAGGTTGAATAAGGTGATAAAGAAGAGGTAGTTGAATTTTTCCAGAATGACATGATTAGGCCTCACATTGTCGATGAAATTCGTTTTGCCTAGCCTCCCAGAGGGTGCTCCCATCCCGGCTCAACTGGACTTCAATTTCGACCTTGTCTTGGTCCCTTTAGCATCCCCGATTGAAAATTTAATGGAATTGTATAGTATACTCATATTATTGTGAGATAATAGCCCCTCATAGTTCTATGCTACTTGGGTTGGTAAGAGCTCTGAAACGGTAGAACACAGGACATTCTGGAAGGCTCTGGAGGAGACTTCATATTCATTTATTCTTGATGCTAATACCAACCAAATAGGCTTCTTGGCCCAAAAATACACTTTGGGGTGGCAACAGTGACTTTTCCTGCAATACCAACTTGGAAGGACGACAGCACAACCGTGAGGTTATGTTATCTGAAGGCAATTCTCGAGCATAATCATTTTATTAACCGTGCTTCTGTCTCTCCTCCTAGCGCCTTA